ATTAACACCTTTAAAAAAGTATAAATTAACAACTTTGTATTTTTCACTTGTTTCAAATTTCAACTCATTAAACTGTAAACTATCAAAGAATTTGTTTCTTGAAATTATGTTGTTTGAATTGCTTTGCTATTAGGTGAATCGTTTCCACGGAAATGGTGGATCACAATAACAAAAGATGAATGAATAAGTAATTAATTATTTCTATACAATTTTTTTTTATAATTAAAAGAAAAATATAATCTAAACAAAATTTAAAATTAATTGTATACAATTCAAAATGTATATATGTATATAGAATAATGAATATGTTTGAAATCAGTACTAAATTATTGAAAAGTTAAACTTGATTTAATAAGAACTGTACAAGCTAAGAAACATCAAAAGTTTTAATCTTCATAAAAGATATTAACATGTATTGTTAAGTTTATACTGATATTTAAAAGATATTTTTTCATTATACATATTAAATTAGTTCTATGCCAATACGATTGTTTATAGTATAGTTACAATCTACTCTCAGTTTTCTATACGCATGCCCATTGATGTGCATCGAAAAGTAGTGGAGAACCAGTAAAGGATAGTAGGGGAACCTATGGAAAGGGAAGTTTTTTGGTACTGCATATATGATTTCCATGTTCGCCTAAATCGATAATACGTTGGAAACTGTTGATATCATACGAATGTTTGTATTTAAAAATTACTCTTTCTGATTTTTCATTTTTAATAAATTTGAATCCCCTGTTGCGTAAAATTGCAATGCAGAGTGTTATTAATTCTGTAAAAGGCACTGCGCTTGGTGTTGCCGAATACTTAACCCCTGTACTAAAGGTATGGTTGTTCGTAAATATGATATCTTTAAAATAGATATCTTACAAAATAATAAGAAAATAATATATATTAAAAAATCATATGCAATTCTGTGTAATGAACACATCATCCTTATGTACTGTTTAATTACTTGTTTACGTTATGCTGCTATATCTTTGTCATTGTAATTCATTTATTGTGTGATCTTTATAACAAAATTTTAAAATGATCTTATAACAATCAGATCTTATAAAAAAATACTAAATTGTTATTGATTCTTTTATTATAACTATAAAATTGTGATTTAAAAATGTATATGTAAGAATATTGTTTTCAATGTAGAAATAATGTACAAATAATAATTGTTTATGATACTGTTAAATATTATATTGTATTTCATAATTTACGAGTGTTCTGTGTACTTGAAGTGATAGATCAAAATAAAATGGATTTTTAAAACTAACTTTCTTTGTTATATATAGGCCTTTGTTTTTATAGTATTTTCATAGTAATTCATTATGTAGTCTGTGACACCTATTTATATGTCTTTATTTTATTTATTGATTATTACTTAAAATACTTATGTTCACTTTTATTCCTATCATTTTAGTTTAGTTGTTAAAAAATTGTTTACTTTTTGTCATTATTTATTTAATTTTATTTATAAGATCTTCAATTTTTTTATAACTTTATTTACTGTTATTGCAATTGTTACACTGTGTAGATAAAATAGTATTATAAACTCATTCTAATTTTTATATTAGACATTTTCAATAGAAACATTTCTAATAAAAGATATAACAATATTTTTGCATATCAAATGTAACTTATACTATTAAAGGAAAGTAAATTTCGAGAAACTGGAGTATTAACACCGGAGGAGTTTGTGGCAGCAGGTGACCATTTGGTACATCATTGTCCAACATGGCAATGGGCTACTGGTGATGAAGATAGAGTAAAATCATATCTTCCTAAAAATAAACAATATTTGCTGACACGTAATGTACCTTGTACTCGCAGATGCAAACAGGTACTAAAGATATAAAACCCTTTAATTATAGATAGTTTCTAATATGAGATTGAATTGTAGATTGAATACATTAAAGAACAAGAGTGTATCATAGAAGCTGATGATCCTGAAGGAGGTTGGGTAGACACACATCATTATGACACTAGTCTTGATGGAATTGAAGAAAGAGTAACAGAAATGACATTAGAAGAAACACAACTTTCTCAGTCAATTAGCACAGAGGAAAATAATGGAGATGATAATGATGATGATGACGACGATAATGAAGATGCTGCAGACATGGAAGCTTTTGAAGTCAGTGGGATGTTAGATGAACAGGATAAGGTATTTTTACATATTATTTACCAAATAAAGTTGAATAGTAATTTTCCATAAACATCATGTTATAATTTATATATATGTATAATATATAATATCTTATACTA